CCTACAGGACGGAGTAGAATTGCCCCATAGTTTCCAAGGAGTGCCAGGTGGATTTCAACTGCTGACCTTCTGGTTAGCAGCCATAGCACTTAACCATATGCCACCAGGGTTTCCGATTTAGAGAGAAACTGTGCAAAATTAAATGAGAACTTGAAGATTTGGACAATTCTGTTGTACAAACCAAGAAAGTATATTCTGGAACTTTCACCTAGGGCATGGCTACACAATCCTTTGCTAGAAGAGATTAGGCCTATGACTGATAACTCTAATCAATCACCCAAGCAGAAATCCTATCAGCTTAGACTGGAAAGGACAGAGACAGGACAAAATGAAGGAACGCTGTTTGCTTCCTGGAATTCTACAGATAGGAAATGGGCCAATGGAGCTACTTGGCTGGGGACATTTGTTATCCTCCAAGAAATGGAAAGCACCATCCAGAAATTAATAAGACTGTCAAAAGGAGCATGGGGGGCAAGGCTACTACTTTCTCAGTTTCAAAGGGTGGAGTCACAGCCTTCTAGGTTTCAAGGAATGAGGTCTTCGCTACTTTGGTTCTGGAGGGTGGGGCTGCCAGTCAGGTAAGTCAGGAGAACTGAGCTGCCAGGGGCTGAGAGGGTGGGGTCACCACTCAGCTATACCAGGATAATGGAGCCGCCTAAAGACGAGTGAGTGAGGTTGCCGTCCCAGTGGGCCTAGAGGGTGGGGTGGACACCCAGAATCCAAAGCATGGAGCCAAGATGGAGTCATTGCCCAGATGACAGGAAAATAGAGGACTATTTTCAAGCTTTGAGAGCTAATAAAATTTGCCCTGCTAGGTTTTGAGTACCCATTACCCATTCTTTCTCTTCAATTTCTCCCGTCTGGAACGGAAATGTCTATGCTGTGTCTGTTCTGCCATTGTCCTCTGGATGTAGATAACTTGTATTCTGGGCTTCACACATCCACAGATGGAGAGGAATTTTGCCCAAAGATGGAAGACCCCCAAACTCATACCCATACTTGATTTAGATGGTCCAGAAGATGAGATTTTAGACTTAAGAGTTGATGCTGGAATGGGTTAAGACTTTTGAGATGATTAGGTAGGGTGAACGTGTTTTGCACATGGGAAAGACATGAACTGAAACAGTGGCTGCAATAATGGGCTCAAGCCTAACAACAATTGTGAGGATGGCGCCGGACCCAGCAGCGTTTCGTTCTCTGTGAGTCAGAACCTACTCGACAGCACGTAACAACAACAACAAAGAGTGTAATGTTATGCTTTAAATTGTGTCCCCCCAAAATATTTGTTGGGATCCTGACCCCTATACCTATGAATGCAATCCTGTCTGGAAATAGGTTTTCTTCGTTATGTTAACTAGACCTTACCCAAATAGGGTGGGTCGTAAATCTAACCACTTCTGAGTTATAAAAGAGCAGATTAAATACAGAGATACACACACACCAGGAGGGGGAGACAGATGCCATGGGAGGATCACCAAGGAGGCAAGGAGCAGCCACAGGGCTACAGATAAGGAAGGAATCAACACAGCTGGACCCTGATCTGGACTTTCAACCTCCAGAACTGTAAGAAAATAAATTTCTGTTCTTTAAAGTCACCCACTTAAGGTTGTTTTATTACCGCAGCACTAGGAGACTAGGACAAACAGATTGCTTTTGAAATAAGGGAAAGGTACACACACGAACATGTCTGCTTCAGACTTAATTCAAAA